GAAGTACTTGTACATTAGCGTCTTGCTAATGTCAAGCACTGCTAAACCGACGTATATTGGTTTGATAAACTTGACCATCTTCTTTGTCCATTATGACGGCGCACAACCTTTCACCGTATTTGATACAGTCGTTGAAGGTTGGTTGGTTTACGAGCTTGCTTAGACGTTCGGGACTGGAGATTAGCTCAATACGGATGCGTTTCCGCATGTTCTCCATTGTTTTCCCTATAAAATGTAAAAAATTATCGAATAACCCACTTTAGCATTGAGCATGCACTTACCAAAGACGGCATTGTTCATTAGTTTGAAAAATGCAATTTCAAAAGCATTTGCCGCCTTTTTCCGCATTTCAGTGTTCAACTCAATGTATGGTTTCAACCAAGCACTTTGTTGAAACTCTAAAACGCGGTGCACCTGCAGTACAAATATTTATATTAGTATCATCGCTTATAGTTTATAGGTTNCTAACTCATAGCACACCCGTATAGGTTATTGCCTGTAAACATTAAACGTTATTAAACCACCGCTCAAATATTGCGCGTTTATATATGCACGTATAGATTACTTACAGTCTTGGTACACGATCCATGATTCTGGTTTTGACGGATCGTAATCTGGTGTCTTAGAATTGTTGGCCTTTGCATAGTGCTTGACGGCCTGCACTAGCCCACCACGAATGCCCTGTTCCACCATCAGTAGCATGTCGTAGTCGTTCAAGAGCTCCAGCTTCATCCTGGTGTATTTCAACATACAATCGAAGCTAAAACCAGGCGCGGTGTAATAGTGCGCCGGGTCCAAATTGTATGTTGAAATACAGATGTCGCGGAAGTTCTCAAACACATCAGCCAACAACAACACGTCGATCTTAAGATATAGGTCGCTGTACTCACCGAGGGTTGAGCAGTCGAAACGGTTCCACACCTCCGTGGCATGTCTATAGTCGTCGTCATCAATATTAGACTCACTCAACTGACTATAGAAAGCGTCCTGAGGTGGTAGTTCCGTTTCTTCCAATTTAGCCCAACTATCAGTGTACTCGTAGGGGTATACACCCTTACGCGTCACCAATGGCATTTCTTCCGGGCGGAACACCTTGGCCGTCTCCCGGAATTTAACAAAGTCAGGCGTCATTAGGTTACCGGCCAAGGTGGACAGGGAGGAGGCCATGAACCGGAAGGTATCGACGAACCGTATGGAGAAGTTATTGGTCACGTGTTTCGTGACCGAAATATACTTCTCCTCGGAATTCGGTATGACCGAAATCCTTTGGTCGTCGTACCCCAATTCAGTGACTATGAAATGCGCGTCGTAACCTGAAAGATTGTGCAAGAAGCACGGCACAAAGTTGACCGTCTTCACTTTCAGGTTACATGCATTGCACAACGTCTGTCTGAATCGCCCCGATAAATGGCAGTGGTCTGCGACTTTGGGGTTGGAATCCTTGAATGCCGTGCAGCACAAGTCGCATACCACTTTCTCCCCGTGCCTGCGCACATCTTCGACAGACATTCGGATGGGAACGTTGGTTTTGCGCAACAATTTAGAAATGTTACGCGTCACTTCAGTTACAGCCATCACAAATGCCTTGGCGACCTCTTCGCGATCCTCGGACCCACGGTATATCACCGGTGATTGTGGTATACCGTAGCGTTCGAGGAGCTCGGAGGGCACATCGTCCGATGTTTTCACCATGAACCCATAGCTCATGGGATGGTGGGTGTGCACAGTCCTGGTGTATGTACCCATACGATCGTCTGTTTTCTCCAGCAAGGCCTCAAAATCGGCGTAGATGACGAACGGTAACCGTTGCGTCTTTACCCACGCGTCAAATTCGACCTTACTGCCCTCCGCCGGCATAACGGGTAAAATAGGCTTGTTCTTGCCGCATATCAACTTGTGTTGCTCCAACGCTTGTTGACCCCGAAGAATGTGCTTTTTGGGCTGATCATCAAAGCTGGTGAAGCAACGTTTGCAAGTGTATATGCGGCATTTGTGATTAGTTTTTTGGCTGCGCACGAGCCTCGAAAAATCGGAAATGTACGCGTAATGTGACTTTTCAGAGTCACCGATGTACAACAGGTCAAAATGATTCTGTTGCTCTTGGTCGGCGACTCTTAGAGGATACACCAACCACTTCATCTTATCGTCGTCTCGTTCCAAGCCGTACACGTTGACAGACACGTTAGGGTTTCGTCGTTCAAATATTTTAATTTGGGACACAGGTGTGGGGAACGTCAACCCCGTGAAATCATACCTGTGTTCCTCGTTAAAATATTTTTCATTAACGCGATATTTATTACTCCCACCAACGTGTCTTGCCAAAATGGACCACTTGAAACAAGACTGATCGATATTCTGTGGGTTGATGATTGCTTTTCTTTGGTTAATCTCTGGCGGGACAGGAATATATGATGAGCCGGCGAGGGGCGTATACTTGTATACGCTGAGCATAAGACCGTCGATATGCGTTAGAGTGAATCCGCTACCCCTACCCGAGTACGCGTCTTCCTCGGCAAGCATAACCTCAAAATCTTCATCGACCGCACACCCGATATCTGTATCGGATAGCAATGCCCTAGCCCGTGTCTTGAAGGCACGGTCTTCGGACGGTGCTTCTGATCGAGGTATATGGTATGAGGCCTCCAATTTGAGATTATACTTGATCGGCCGGTTACCTACAATTTCAGCGAGTCTGGCCACCAGCTCAGGTTTAACGACGCGCAGAAAATCTCGATAGCTCGCGAAATTTTCCACGTTCTTCCGGTAAAACCAAACGGCCCCCCGCTCCAATGCGGAATCGATCTCGCTGAAATCACTGGTATCCGTCAATTGCATACGTAACCTTTTCGACCTAACCGCGCTGTTGTTGGCCCTACTACGCTTCGCCGTCTGATGTGACGAAACAGATGTCGTGGAAGTAGCTTTAATCAAAAATAAATTATTTATTTATTTATTGGAAAAAGATAAATAAAAATAGTAAGGATGATAAAATTAAAGAGAAATGTTAATAATTGTACATACCTGTTGAAGACGTTTGCTGGTTCATGATTTTTTATTTGCGCGTTAAAATAATAAATTTATAGTTTTCAAATAATCAACTATGCGTTAACGTTAATTGAACACGAATGTGACAAGATACAGAGCGTTTAACCGGTTATATAGTAAAATAACAAAATGCGTAGGCGTGAAAAAAGACAACGTTGCCATTTTTCTCATAAAATGCATACGGCAGTGAACATTAATATATTGTATCATCTTTGGAATTATGCTGACCTAAGCGTCTGGCATCCGATGATAAGATTCATACGACATTTTTATGCGGCGACCTCTTTGATGTTTGAAATATGCTGACCTAAGCGTCTGGTAGTCGATGATAACATTCTTAGAATTTATTATGCCATAACGACAGACGTTGTCATTGTTCTCATAAAATGCTGACGCCAATGAACGTTATAATATAGTAATACATTTGATCTCTGGAATATGCTGACGTAAGCGTCTGGTTACCAACGATAAAATACTATGTAAAAAATAAATGCATACAACAGTGATTATTACTGTACGGCGAAATCTTTGATATTTTAAATATGCTTACCTAAGCGTCTGGTTACCCATGATAAAATTCTTAGAAATTATAATGCCATAACGACAGACGTTGTCTTTGTTTTTATAAAATGTAGACGGTAATGTGTGTTATAATATGGCGGTACCTTTGATGTTTGAAATATGCTTACCTAAGTGTCTGGTAGGGAATGATAAAAATTCTTAGAAAAAGATAACTTTGATAAAACGCAGACAGCAATTATTTTTCGTAAAATGTTGACGGTAATGTGGGATTATAATATGGCGGTTGGTTTCAAGTTAAGTTTCATTACCCCGTCGCTCATTACGACATGTTGAGGAAATCCCCCTCCCCTGACTTAGGTTAGTTTTCATTGGGTTTCAAACATTGTGCGCACCTCACACCCAATTGTCTTAATAGAGTTTGTTACAAATCGTTCAAGGAATAGTCAAGTGTGGTGGCGGCGGTCGCTACTTGACGTACACTATTTCAATGTAATGTATACATTAAATGATAAACGCAGTGAAGACTCGGGGGTGCTGGTAGTGGGGGTGCTACTTTAAATGTAATACCTCTAGTTATAGGTATAAAAAAATTGTCAAATTAAATATAATAAAATAAAATGCGATACACATATTATTATTTTAAAGGCGCAGTAGAAAATAATAATAATAGCGATTATACTATTATAGCAACCTAAACATAGTAATTCTAAAAATATATTACCAATTATAGTAATTATATTAATTATATAATTAATAGTAATATACTAATATTAACGAGATGTTTTTCTAAGCATCTGATGGTAGGCAATGATAAAATACTATGTAAAAAATAAAAATGCAGACGCCTATGAACGTTATAATATGTTGAAAATATGCTTACCTAAGCGTCTGGTTACCCATGATAAATTTCTTAGAATTTATTATGCCATAACGACAGACGTTGTTATTGTTCTCATAAAATGCTGACGCCAATGAACGTTATAATATAGTAATACATTTGATCTCTGGAATATGCTGACGTAAGCGTCTGGTTACCAACGATAAAATACTATGTAAAAAATAAATGCATNGTGTCCGCGGATCCCCTTAGACTTTATGAGTTCGCTGCCTTCCATGTCAAATGCGTAGCACTTTGATCGAAGTGCAGCGATCTCAAAGAGAGTGAGGCCACTGGTCTCGTCTGAAAACAAGCCGGGCATCTTCTTTCTATCGGTGGAGTAGCAAGGGTGATCCTTGGGCAGGCTAGATGCGTCCACGTGCACCAGTAAATCGGGGCTACCAGCTAAATCCTGGTAAAAGTCGCCTACTTTGAGTAGGTATATGAAGGAGTCTGAGAAAAATTAACAATATATAAATATAAAAAATATTTCTACTGTACGGTTGTACTCACCAGTATCCATGTAAACCAATTCGATTGCACTGCCATAATGTGGTTTCAATACGTCGTAGAAGTACTTGTACATTAGCGTCTTGCTAATGTCAAGCACTGCTAAACCGACGTATATTGGTTTGATAAACTTGACCATCTTTGTGTCCATTATGACGGCGCACAACCTTTCACCGTATTTGATACAGTCGTTGAAGGTTGGTTGGTTTACGAGCTTGCTTAGACGTTCGGGACTGGAGATTAGCTCAATACGGATGCGTTTCCGCATGTTCTCCATTGTTTTCCCTATAAAATGTAAAAAATTATCGAATAACCCACTTTAGCATTGAGCATGCACTTACCAAAGACGGCATTATTCATTAGTTTGAAAAATGCAATTTCAAAAGCATTTGCCGCCTTTTTCCGCATTTCAGTGTTCAACTCAATGTATGGTTTCAACCAAGCACTTTGTTGAAACTCTAAAACGCGGTGCACCTGCAGTACAAATATTTATATTAGTATCATCGCTTATAGTTTATAGGTTAATTATACATACTTTATCGACTTGCAGTCCGTGTGCGAT